TTTTCTTTGGACTGTTTCATTATTTCTTATGAAATTATATTCCTAAACATCATTTGTTATGAAAATATCTCCCTAATAACATAAGAAAAAAGGAAGGTGGAGTATATATAAAGGAGACACCTAAGGGATGTCAATACTAACTTATTAGTCTATTTTTATTCGATAAAAAAATTTAAATTTATAAATTCTTACATTTGTTAGTTTTTTCTATTAATAGATAAATAACACAGACGAAAGACCGGTTGTAGTTAACTACAAATCATTTATCAGTTTGTTTCAATAGTGATATGCAAATTTAATATTATTTTTGTCTCTATAAAATTTAGAAATCTATTAAATTATTCTATATTGTACATGTGCTAACAAAATTTGACAATTTTTTTGCAGGTTTCTATTGGATATTTTTAATTCATAACTGTTCTTCTTATTTTATATTACTTATGGGTTATATTTAAAATTTTTATTACATTTTCTTTGTAGGTTTCTATGGGATTGTGTTATATATTTCTATAGATTTACAATATATCAAAATCAAAACTAATTATTATTCTTTAATTTTATACTCATATTATGGTATTAGGAAAGATATACCTTGTTGGTAAAAGCTTTTAATTAGTTAATCCGTTTATTAATAACTTGCCTTATTTTGTTATCAATTACTTGCGCAAGTTGATATGTTGATTACCTTATTTTGCCATCAATTACTTGTCTTAAATGGTATGTCAATTATTGCAAATTTATGACAGTCAATTTTTAATATTTTTCTTTAAATTGCTTCATGGCTTATTATGAATTTTTTTCCAATTTTTAATATATTTCTTTAAATTGCTTCATGCCTTATTTTAAATTAATATAACTTGCACAAGAAAACTAATATTTAATTCAAATCAGCTTATGATATTGTAGATCTAATAAATTTCTTTATTAAGTTTAAATATTTATTATAAAAAATTAATATTTTCTGATTTGCCTTCTAAATCGGTATTACACTTTATAATTGCTTAGATTTTATAGTTACAATAGCATACTAATGAGATGAACTATTTCTCTTGCAGGTCATGATGTTGCAGTCCTTAGGTGATATTTCCTTGTGGTGATTTTTCAGGAACTCATTTGTCCAAAAGAAAAAACCAAGAAGATCATGACAGTAACCTTGGAGGATCA